AATTTAATAAAACCTCTCAGATGACTTCATGATTAAGAATGGCAGTCATGCGATTTTGAATTTTCTTTCTCCTCTACTTCCCCATCTACCCCCCGCAGAAAACCTATACAAAAAAAAAAATCAAGAAAGAAAACAGAGACATACAGGACCTATAATTTCAGTATTGCTGGAAGACCAACAAAAAGCACAACCTTCAAATTACCTCTAACATCCAACAGAATTCCTGCAGCCTTCCACTGTCACAGGCTTCAAGGCTGGAAAGTCAAAAAAGGAGGGCTTAAAAGACGGCGCAAGAAACAGTTGAGGACTTGGAGGAAACACAAATTTATCCCTAGAAAGCAAACATGCACCAATAATACTAACATGCTGTATGAGACTTGTGTAGTCCCCAGCCCCAGCCAGAAAGAGAAGTTGTGCAGACAAGGTAGTAAAGGGAAAGAATGGAATAAGAGAGGAAGACATGCCGCCTCTTCCCCAACTAAACACCACCCTCATAGAACAGCACAGAAGACGACAAAGGGTAGAAACAAACACTCTCAAACTAGAATCCCTTTCCAAGAACAAGAACAGCAAAAAAGCAGACCAAAACCATTAAAAAAACAAACCTATTGCAAAAGAGTCCCAAAATACAAATAAAGCATTTCTGCTGATGAAGCCACTCATCCCAAACCAACCATGATCTTGAGGAAAACTGCAACATAACATTTGAAATGAATTAAATATTGCCAAACAAGCACCTGGGGATATGAAAACATACTCTGAATCGGAAACACAAAAATTAAAAACATAAATAGACCAGAAGACCAAAAAGAAGCGAGGAGGAAGAGGAGGAGAAGAAGTTAAAAGGAAGAAGGGGAGAGGAGGAGGGAAGGAGGGAAAAGAGGGAAAAGGAGGAAAGGAGGGAAGAGAGAAGATATGAAACAAGAAATGACCAACTCAGGAAAGAAACAGAGTAATAACAATTTTTAAAAAGCATATAAAAAATGAAGGTTAAATTATAAGGTACCCTGCCCGGGTTGTAGCTCAGTGGCATCATGCCTGCCTGGCATGTGCAAGGTTCTGAGTTCAATTCCCGGTATTGGAAAAAAAATTTTAAGGTACCCCAAAACAGAGAATAGATTCAAATGAAAACTTATTAAAGGGCACTGAAAAAAAAAGGCAAGACAATGTAAACAAAACAAGTTAAGAGAAAAATAAGCAAAGGAAGTCAAACATGTATAGTGCATGTCTCTAAAGAAGAAAAATCAACACAAAATGAATTTTATTTTTTAAATAGAAATTTTAAAAAAATATTTAACCTTACAACACAAACAACTTTTTAGAAATAAAAGACAATTTGAATCTACATATAGTAATAGTCCTCTAGATACCAAAACAACCCAGGAAAATAAACTCCAAGTTATGAAAACCAAGTCTTTAATGATAAAAGAAAAAAATCCTCACAGCCTCCAGGTAAAAAGAGAAAATAATCTACAAAGTCAAGAGAATAAGACTGGTATCATTTCTATAAAACAATATGTAAAACCAATATAACAGGGCAGCAGCATTTTCAAGAAACTTAAAGAAAACTCAGATATATTCACTCAAGCTTTCTTTAAAGTATCAAAGCCACAGAAAAACAATTTAGAACATTCCAGAAATCAGAGGATAGTCAAATGTGCCTTTCCTGAAGAATCTACCAAAGGATAATCTTTATTTAATTAAAATATGACTTGTGAAATTATTTCATCTATTTTAACTGGAGAACAAAGCCTGAAACAAAGGTCGATCATAGGTTAAAAAATAAAAATGTTCCTTGTATTCAAATAAAAGAGCAAATCCTAAGTTATTAATAAATTCTTCACATAGGAAAAGGCTGCAAAGCATTTCAAGTGATTTCAATATTCGTTACAATTTTCATTAAATTGATATTATAGCATCTAAAAGGGGTGAAAGCTGCTTATTGAAAAAAAACATGAAAAATTCATAACACAAAACAAACACATTAAACTTCATGCAGTTAGTAACATGTACAACTTAGGATGGGGAAAAAAAGTTTTTTGATCTAATAGTTTCAATGTTGTTATCAAATAATTTAACTATTGCAAAAAATAATTTTTTTAAGTTTGAGAAAAGGTTTATGATTACATTTAAGGCATGAGGTTATTAAATAGTTCAAAACATAAAAATACATTTTACTGGGCCGGGGATGTAGCTCAGTGGTACCGCACCTGCCTGGCTAGCGCACGGTCCTGAGTTCGATCCCTAGTACAACACCAAAAAAAAATTTACAAAAGACTATTTCACATAAATTTACTTTTCAATAATGCTCTTAAGGGCTGGGGATTTAGCTCAGTGGTTCCATCACTTGCCTTGCAAGCACAAGGACCCAAGTTCGATCCCCGGTACCAAAAAAAAAAAATAATGCTCTTAAGCCTATATTAAAATAACTAGTCACATGCAAGCAGAAATAGTGATTAGAAACCATAAACTATAATAATCACTGATGCCAAAATAATAAACACCCAAACTAAAAATAATAAAGTTAACATTTTTAGTAGCTATCACTTATTTATAAATTGCTTAGCACAATCTCATTTATTCCTCACAAGTTTATAAAGATGGATATTTAATTATTTCCATTTTATAGCTGAAGATACTGGACATAGAGAATTACCTAGCTCACATGATGTCACAGAAATATAAATAGGTGAACCAGTATTTAAACCCAAATCTGACTTCATGGTTCATGCTCTTAAATCAGTATGCTATTTTGCATAATATCTTACTTAACTGCAGAATTTAGCCTAGACTATTCATTTTCCATAAACCATATTTCTTAAATCCATAAAATAATTGACTATTGAGGGTGGTAGCCCAGTCTTCTAGATAAAGGTTCAAATTTGTGTTTGTGTGTGGTACTGAAGATTGAAGGCAGGGGCTTTACATTGAGCTACATCCCCAGCCCTTCTATTTTTTTTAATTTTAAAAATTTTGAGACTGGGCTCACTAAGTCACTAAGTTGCCCAGGTTGGGCTCAAGCTTGCGACCCTCCAGCCTCAGCCTCCTAGAATGCTGGCATTACAGGTGTGCACCACCAAGTCCAGCTAAACTATTTTTAAAAGCATTTAAAAAAAATTTTATCTTCAGCTCCCTACAACTCCTACCTCTCTGCCCCTAGACCTGGTGTCTGCTCTACCCAGCCACTAAATCTTATGTCTAGTTACGCTGAGAATCTGGCAGCTTCATAATGAAACAGACGTGGACTGCTCACTTCTAGGCCTGCTCACGTGCTGTTTCTACAGAGCACCTTCCTTTCTTCTCTCAACTTGACCTGGAACTATTTTCTCCTTACACCTTCAATGACCACTTTGGATAAGGCTCCTCAGGAGAAGCCTTCTTAAGCACCCAGCAACCTGACTTTGTCTGCATTTCTTCTGCATTTACTTCAATCACAAATTTATCCTACTGCAGTGCAGCAGTCTATTATCTGTAGCCTTAAGTGTGTGAGCAAAGTATTTAAAACCAAGAATTTTTTAAATGCAATTGAGAAAAAAAAAAACATGCTTCATAAGGTTACTGGAAAAGATAATTTATATCTTAAGAGTTGACTCCAATTATGTACATGTTGATAGTGTAATTAAAAATCATTAGTTTTAGGGGCCGGGGATTTAGCTCAGTGGTTCTGGTGCCTGCCTCGAAAGTGCAAGGTCCCAAGTTTGATCCCCGGTACCAAAAAAAAAAACAAAACAAAGTACAAAAATCATTAGTTTTAATAACGTATTTATTATTCAATTTGACATCCAATGGTAAGTTACATTCTTAACTTTGAAATGATGCACTAATACGATAAGTTTCAGAAAAATATTTATTAAAGAACATTATTTTAAAAGAATACTTTATTTTTCTTACTAAAAATGTAGTTCTGTTTTCTCTTCTGTTAGAAGAGTATGCTGAGCAGAAAAGGAATAAACAATAAACTGGTGAGATATCTTGATAAAGATCTTATCACTGATTATCATACAAAAGATCTAAGCTATGCTACTGGTCATCAGCCTATCATATCTTAGTGATACAATCTCTATCATATCACTAACACTTTATGCCATCTTAGTTCATCATAACTGCTCTTTTATTTCTGAATACTGCTAAATGTTTCCAAAATCTTTTTTGGCTTGGAAAATCTTCTAAAGTGACTAATGTGTTCCTCTGCTAACTCAGGAACACTTTCTTGTTTTAATTTATCTTATTTCTCTGAACTCAAAGCATTCAAAGAACAAAGGCGAGCCCATCTTTACTTTATCCGTAAAATTCACCATGCATATATAACAGTTTACCAAACAGCAGGAAAATGGTGAATTTTCTTCTAATATGTCAGGGATTCCATGTTTGGGGTGAGATGAAGAAGTATATTCTGATCTACCCAACATTAAGTAACCAAGAAAGGCTACTACTTGCAAAGTAAAAATGAGATGACAAATGGAAGCCTAAAACATATATATGTGAATGAGCAGAATTTAAATTTCAGTTCTTCTAAACATGAAATAATAAATACCATAAGATATAAAAAAGATAATGCTTTATCAGTTCTTCCCTCTGATAATTCCAATAGTATTACAGAATACTCCAATATGCAATGTTAAACCATTTCAAACCTTAACTACATTTCCTAAAATTCATTAAAAACGCTCAAAGAAAAAATGAAATAAAAACAAAAGACATTGCCTTTATAAAAAAAGGTAACATATAAGAGGAAATTGTAAAAGATGTTCTTATATTAAAAACTTTATTAAGTACAAATTAAAATAAAACTTTTTAAAAAATCATTTGTGGGCCGGGTATTTAGCTTAGTGGTTCTGCCACCTGCCTTGCAAGCAAAAGGTCCCAAGTTCGATCCCCAGTACCAAAAAAAAGAAAATCATTGGTCCTCTTACAAAGATCTTTCACAGAAACAGTTCTTCACAAAACTGTGTCACTAGCCTGTATTTTTTTTCTCATAATAAATTTTCAGTTATATTTACCTTCAGATCCCATGATGAAGTGATGGATATCAGGGCCTGTTGACATCCGAGGTCCTTGACAACTTTTTTCTATCACTCCTCTAGGTGTTACCACTTTCATATGAACCACCTGTTTAATACAATACAAAATACAAATTCTAGGTATCAGTGTTTGTGTGTGTGTGTGTGCACAAACACTCATATATTTACATAAGACACTATTTTTAAAATATTGGGCTAAATTAAAAATTGTGATGCCATTCAGAATTCTAGTATCTTTTAGTAATTCTTCAAGGTAGTTATACATAACTTTAAAAGAGGAAAAAAAAACAAACCTGCCTAAAATTATTATCCACCTATTGATTTAAGTTGGTAATTACTACTACAAATAAGTACATTAGAATGTAGACTTGTAGGGCCAGGGATTTAGCTCAGTGGTTTCATCGCCTGCTGAGCAAATGCAAGGACCCAAGTTCGATCCCGGGTACCAAAAAAAAAAAAAAATGTACACTTATAATCTATGTTCCTTAAATATCTCCCCAAATAAATAGCATGCTTCAGCAGTTCTTAAATGTAGTTATTTATCAAGTATTTGCCTTATTTCAACACAGTTATCATAACCCAATAGCAAAAAGATAAAATTTTCTCCCTGCAAATAAATTTAGGTTATTTTAATTGCAAAAATAAAAATATAGTTTTTTGAATGTCCTCAATAAAATAAAATAAAGAGGTAGAAGGGTAGTTCGGTAGTAGAGTGCTTGCCAAGCATGTGAGGCCCTGTGTTCTAACCGCAGCTCAAAAGAAAGAGAGAGAGAGAGAGAGAGAGAGAGAGAGAGAGATATCTTGGGAGAACGGAAAACTGAGTTTCCATAAGGCAAGATATTATTTTTATATTTCACAACTTGGATGCTATGAAATATCTACAAAGCTAAATATTAGTCACTTGAAAAAGAGCATCTATAATGACACGGTTGTCTTTTAACTGCTTCTACTATACACATTCAACAATACTATAATCAAAAGGATATATTTTGGGTCCAACTCTTAAAATGTTTTGCTCTTTTGGTGATCTATGGATTGAATCTAGGGTCTCACATGTGTTAGGCAGGTCTCTACCACTGAACACCACTCCCAACTCCAACACCTAGTTTTTAAAGGCTTTAATCTCTTAATAATAATCTCTACACACTAACAATTTTTATATAACCAGAAAAAAATTCACCAGATCCTCAATATTGCCATAGATGTTCTTCTTCATGCCTGATGCCCGAGTAGATATCCATCCTCCCACAGTACTGAATTCCAGGGAATCTGGTTCATGACCTGTACAATAACCACTTTCTTTAAGCTAAAAAACAAAAATATAACATTTTACTAGTTAAAATGGTCCCATTTCATACAACATTCAACACACGAACTTCTCTCACTTTAAAATTTCCAGAAATCACTGGTATTTATTTATAAAAAACCTCTATAGAAAAAGAAATACATTAATTTTACTAGTCTTAAAAACAAACATAACTTTTTAAAGCTTTTGCCTAATGGAAAATTTTGTAAAACTGAGAAGTGTGGGCCAAAAGAGAGCTCTATTTTCCACAGATTCAACAGACAATCTTACTTCTTATATCCTTTTACTTTAAAGCCATCCATTCCTCCCTACAGAGACAGTTTAAATACTTAGGGAGATCAGATTATGCTTATTTAACTGCCAACTTCATCTACCATGTACACTCTCAAAAAATAATCTCTCCTTTTCCCTACCCTAATATAATATGCAGCAGGCCTGCAGGAAATCTGAGCAAATTGCCTGTATTTAATTCTCTCAAGGAGTCATGTGTTTTAATGTACAGCCATCTGGCTCAGTTTCCTGCATGTAATACCATCATTTATTTGTGATGCGGGTCATGCATTCCTGTACATTAAACAGTCACTTGTTTCTCATTTTTCTACATTAGCTTGGCTCTGCCATCTGTACAGCACCTGAGGTTGAATGGATGCCCTTTACTGCAACAACACCAAAGCCATTCCACTGAAATCATTTTAGGGACTCAGCCATCTCCTGTCAAATGGTACTGATACTACCATCTGCATACCCACTGTCTACTGCACTCTAGCCCATCAATCTGTGTTGACCATTTTGGTAGTCACCCAGTTAAACAACTGCTTCTGTTTTTCAAGTAAGCCATGCAGAGATGTAAAATATGTCAGCTATGGTATAAAAGTTATAATCCAAAATTTGAAAGCCTATTAGGTTAAACATAATTTGTTAGGTTTTATACATCAGCAATCCAAATTGTTTATCTTTTCTAGTTCGGCTGCTAGAAAAACAAGATTTGAAAAGACATAAATTGCTACCTAAGATAGTTTTCTTTAAGTATTCAATATATTTATTCAATTTTAAGAGTTTAATAACCACCCACAAATAAGCCAGATATATGGCTGACTGGGTTAAAATGAAGATTATCAGATGGTTTACACTTCTTCCCTACCTCATCCTCAAACAATCTAAAATGACATTATTTTCTCTCAAAAGACTACTGTTGTTCAATTTTATGAAATTAGGGGAAGAAAAGACATTCATAGAGCCCTAAGATGTGTTAGGCACAATACAGAGTTCTCATATATTCTTATGACAAAACAAATCTGCATGTTACCTCCACAAAAGGAGGTCATTAAATACACACTTAAATTATTTCTATCAGGATATTCAATATCAGATATACTATTAAACTGCCTCTTGGGCCGGGGATTTAGTTCAGTGGTTTCGCCACCTGCTGTGCAAGTGCAAGGACCCAAATTCGATCCCTGGTACCAAAAAAAAAAAAACCAAAAAAAAAAAAACTGCCTCTTGTGTCTGGCAGGCTACTTCAACATTTTCTTCAATTGTAAGTAGCTACTATGTGCCAGGAATCACGTAAACCAACAAAGATAAAGATTTTTTTTAAATGCTATGTTGCTATGCTGAGGGGGTGCAACCTAGTACCCTAATTTTAAAATCTACTTTCTTTCCTTAAAATCTCACTAACTTCCTACTATGTAAGTGTAAGTAAAATGTTTAAAAGCCTGGGTTTGAGATTTATCATTAACCCTAGCTAGAAAATAGCCATACTACACCATGCTAATTTAATAAGAAACAACTGTTGGCATATAGTTAAGTGCTTAATAAATTATATCTACTACCACATATATTCATCTACTTTCTCCTTTAAAAAGTCTTTGTTAATGTCATTAGCTACTAAGAAAAACGTACTGACGGTCAAGATTAATTCATACACTTAAACAATTATTCTTTTTTTTTTTTTAAAGCAGGATTAGGGACTGAACCCATGGTTTTGTGCATGCTAGGCAACTGGTCTACTACTTCTCTACATCTGTAGACCCAAAATATTTTTTTAAAATAACCTCTCTGCTCCAAGCTAGATTGCATAAACACAACTATATCCATCAATCACCATGTGGTGTGAAGCATTATGGGAATAAAAAATTTTATCTTACTTCTGTGTCTCCCTTCAACCAAAACAACAAATATTTAATAACCCCATGCTGAGTTTTAGATACATCACCTAAACAAAAACAAACCCTAAACTGCAGAGGTTAAACAGTAGGCCCTCCTTATTCACAAAAGATATTTTCAAGACCCAGTGGATGTCTGAAACTGGGAATAGTACTGAACTCTACATAAACAACATTTTACAGCTTCTGATTTGGCATATCCAAATTGCCAGCATCACTACTCTTACCCCTTGAAGCCATTATTCTGTAAAACAGTTAAAGGTGCAAACTAACCCTGAATCAAAAAAAGTTACTGCTAATAAACAAAGTATATGAAAGGTAACTTTTAAAGTACTGATCTTTAAAAAGGCAGTGAAAGGAAAAGAAATACAAAAACCTGATGGAGAATATAGAAAACAAAAGTAGACTGAGTATCCCTTATTTGAAATTCTTAGAACCAGAAGCATTTCAGGTTTCAGATTTTTTTCAAATTTTAGAATATTTGCATATACATAATGAAATATCTTGGGGGTGAAAACCAAATCTGAACATACAATTCATTTATATTCAATATATACCTTGAACACATAGCCAGAAGGTAATTTTACACTGTACTTCTAGGGCATCTGCATTTTGACTACAACCCATCAGTAAGGTCGAGTTAAATTTTCCATTTGTGGCATCATATTGGCATTTTAAGTTTCAGATACTGGAGCATTTCAAATTTCAGATCAGGGATGCTGAACCTATAGCAAGATGACAGACTGCAGCAGAAAGTGTCAATAAATCGCACTGAGACTGAAGGGTTTAAATGTTCCCAATGCAAAGGAAACAAGTGTCAAGTAAGGTGAACAGGAAAGACCCAATCATACACTACCAACAAGAAGGCATTTTAAACATACAGACAGAAACTACTTAAAAGAATATAAAAAGGTGAAAAATAAATCATACTAACAAAGAAAACTGCAGTAGCTATTTTAATATCAAAGTTAACTTCAGAGCAAAGAATGCTATTAGAAATAAATCATCTCATAATGACAAAAAGGGCCCATTAGTGGAGAAGACACCAATCTTAAACATTTGTTCCCTAATAAGTTTTAAAATATACAAAGCAAAATCTGTTAGAACTGCAAGAAAAAATATACAGATGTACAATTATAGTTGAACGTTTTAATGCTCCTTTCTCAATAGAACAAGTACACAGAAAAATTTTAAAAAGAAGTCCTGAACAATATCATAAATCAATTAGACCTAACAGACATTTATAGACTACTCCACCAAATAGCAAATGACACATTCTTTGTAAGTGCAAAAGAAACATTTACCAAGTAGATCACACTGTGGGGCATAAAACAAGTATCACTAAGTTCAAAAGAATATAAGTTATATAAAGTATGGTTTTTTAAAACAATGGAATTAATATAGAAATGAATAATAGAAAGATGTATGGAAAAAAATCCGTAATTGGAAACTAAATGACACATTTGTAAATAACCAATGAGTCAAAGAAAAAAATTAAAAAGGAATGGAAAGTGTGAAGTAAATGAAAAAGACATGTCAAAGTTTGTGGGATACCAATAAAGCAGTAGGTAGGTGGAAATTTATAATGCTAAGGGCCGGGGATTTAGCTCAGTGGTTTCGCTGCCTGCTGTGCAAGCACAAGGACCCATGTTCAATCCCCGGTACCAAAAATAAATAAATAAATAAATAAATAAATAAATAAATAAATAAATAAGAAATTTATAATGCTAAAAATCTTTATTAGGAAGACAGGCAGACCTCAAGTACCTTATCTTCTGCCATAAAACAGAAAAAAAGTCATTTGCCAATCTAACATCCATTCCTAATAAAAATGCTCTACAATTAAAGTAGAAAAAGACTTCCTCAAACTTAAAAAAAGAACATCTAGAAAAAACACTAAATTTAACATATACTTAGTGATGAAGTTCTGAATATAACAGAAAAAAAGACAAGAATATCCACTCTTCAACACTGTACTAGAGATTCTGGACAACACAATCAGGTGAGAGAAAAAGAAATTTTAAAGACCCAGAGTGGAAAAGAAAAAGTAAAATTTTTCTTGATTTATAAACAACATGACTATCTATGTAGAAAATCCAATGGAATCTAAAAATAAAGCTTTTAGAACTAATTAGTAAATTTAACAAGGTTGCAGGATACAAGAATGATATACAAAAATCAACTCTATTTCCATAAGGAGCAATCAAACACTTTTTTAAGAAGTTAAAATAGTGCTTTTTTATTAGAAAGACAGTAGTACATACTTTAGCTCTTGCTAAAAGTATTCAATAAGAAAGTGGAGATAATGGGCTGGGGATTTAGCTCAGTGGCGCCATGCCTGCCTCGCAAGCGCAAGGTCCTGAGTTTTTTTCCCCAGTACCAAAAAAAAAAAAGAAAAGTAGAGATATATTTATTGCAGGTAACTGTCACACACGGTCTCTTTATTCTCTCCCTACTTCTGCTTCATTCTCCATGTCCCTTCAGCGCTTATCTCCTCAGTGCCCTCTGTGCGCTCTTTCTCTCTGTATCTATCTGAGCCATGGCTCCTGGTGTCACTTGTTCTATTCCGCCCTTCCCTGGGACTCCACTGGGACTGTCTCCTTATCTCCCTTTGCTTGTAACTAGCAGGACTCCGGCTCTGGCTTCTCCTCTCAATCCTGCTGCGGCTTCCCTCATTCCCTTCAGCTCCTCCCTTCTCTGGGCAAAGACGGCAGCTTCTGCACTTTTGGTCAGAAGCAGACGGGCTCCATTTGCTATTCTCCCCAGAACTCTCTTGTTTTAGAAACCTAGGCATTTCCTTGGCTTTTTCCTCGTTAATGTGACTACTCAAGGGTT